TCCAAATTTGTCAACTTTTGCTTATTTTCTTCGATCTCACCAACTTACATCACAACATCAAAATCACACATCTAATTATTTATCAATTACATAAACATTACATCATTAATTATTTAATTAACAAAAAAAATTACATCTTTATTAATAACAAATTAATTATTAAACAAAAATATAAAATATAAACTAAGCAAACGTGCATTGCACGTTGCTTGCACCTAGTATATATATATATATATATATTAGTTTGAAATCGTGGTTTGAAACCAAATAAAACCACAAAATGGTTTAGTTTGGAAAATAAAATGGTTTGGTTTCGAATTTTTTCAAACAATTTAAAATGATTTGATTCAAAATCATCCGATCAAACTGTGTTCATCCCTAATTTCCTCCATAGGACACTTTTAGAGTGAGAAAATGAATTGTTTGAAGGGTAATTAAATTCATGCCACGTTTTTTTGGTTGTTGCACAACATTTTAACTATAATGAAGGTACAACCTTTTCTTATTGTTGCATTTCTGTCCCACACTTTTTTTCGTCATACTATTATCCTTAATCTTTAATTGATTAGTACATCTCGTTATCGATAATGTTTCCATCCAAATATTCTGTAAGCGTGCTTTGAAAGAAATGGCAAATATTTTACAAAACTTTTATATTTATTATTTTTTCCTATTTTAAAATACGGTGGACAAATAAACCTTTTTTTATATGCCATCCTAACATATTTATTGGAAAAAAACCGACATCAGAGAGTTGAGGATATAAGTGCAATCATTAATAAAGGTTGAGGATCTTCATTGCAATTGAAATGTTTTGCAGTAAACTATTGTGGCAGTAATACAATTACTCTTATATTTACTGTTTTTGTGTTTTTCAATGATGTCCAATTTTTGAATTCTTTTGACAAATATACCACTCTCTTGTAAAAACTGTTCCCAAATCCTTTTCTGCACAAATTTTGACACATGTAAGCATTCTCGTCAAATTAAACAAATAAGAGAAATTTTGTTTCAGATAGACAGTCTCATTCTCGCCATTACTATGTGAATAATAGAAACCATCCCACTGTTTTGAGGAATAATATATCACTTCTAAATGTTTCTTCCATTGATGCTATGTGCTCTCATTTCAGCTCTTAAGAAATAAAAATTACTGCACGACATTGATAAATTAAGTTCGTCGTCCCTCGGTTAGGTTTCAACCTTAATGTCACCTTCACCATCCTCCGCCTAAAATATGGCGCGTGTTCCTGCACATCGAGTTCTTCGTCCCTCGGTTAGCTTTCAACCTTAACATCTCCTCCACCATCCTTCGCCTAAAGTATGGCATGTTCCTGCACAAGAAAATGAACGAAGATGAGATAAGTGCGTCTGTTTACATATGAAGTCATCGGCATAAGGTTTAGTTTACCTGGCTAAGCATAGTCCTACATCTCGGCTATAAAAATCGATAAACTTGATCAGAGACCTGCCACAGCCATTCCTATTTGAAAATGACCATATAATCTAATTAGGCTACAAATATGAACATGAGGAGCACATTTGGTACATTATAAGACTAAACAGTATAATACACAAGATTTTAACACCGTTTCTTCATTAATACCGTTGAGAACCTTAAAAGTCCATCTCACCAATTTTCACACCAACGTACCAATTTTCCTGCGTCCTGAGGTCTTCCACAAATGCCCTATCCCATTAATTGACATCAATGTCCTTCCCAGTCTTGTCCTTAACTTCATCAACGAAGAATCTAGCCTGTATTTGAATACCTATGAATCACACTACAAAACACCGAACAAAAATATCTTCGACCAACCTAACAGAAAAGAAAACATACCTGTACTTCCATTACTTCAGTAGGGAATCCTTCGAGTGAATCAAGATACTGGAGTTTTTTATCCTTCTTGTCGACCAATAGAGATACTGGAGTTTTTTATCCTTCTTGTCGACCAATAGTTTTCTTTGTGGATCGGCACAAAAATCTACGAAAAATAAGGAAACAAAAACTGCATAAACTGACCGGGTGTAAAACAGCAGAAAATGTAACACAATGAAAGTATAGTTTGTCACACTCCAAAAGGCTAATGTCCCATCTTCTCTTTTTTAGTCCCGCTTCTTGAAAATCGTAGCCACCATCATCACTTGACAACTGTGTATAATCAAATAGCCAAACCGACTGTGTAGGTATGATATTTTGCATCGGTGAAGGGGGAGCGGTTTTAGATATCAGCACATGCCGTGTAAAAGTACGTATTAAAGAAATGGCATTTCTAGAACTTGAATGGCTTCCTTATTTCGCTTTCTTTCAGTAGTACCAGATACAGATTAATAATATGCAAAGCAAGAACTAGAAATCTGTTCAATGATCACTCCAGGCCAGGGCCGGTCCTGTGATTTCTAGG